ACACACACACACACACACACACACACACACACACACACACAGAGAGAGAGAGAGAGAGAGAGAGAGAGAGAGAGAGAGAGAGAGAGAGAGAATAACAATTTTGAAAAAATCCCAGATCAAACAGGAAATGCTAACTCAAGCATACACTCTTCCATCAAAAATGACATTTTTGCCCTCTAAGTTGGGGGTGGATGAGGCTCTTAATCAGGAAGACTATTATGTTGTCAAAGGCATTGCCAGGATGAAGGATGGATTCTCACAGAACTATGACCATTTTATTGCTTTTCAGCCCCCGGCCACCAATCCCCCTGTCCCTGTTACTGACAGAAGAAGAAGCAGCAATCATCATCCAGTCCTTCTGGAGAGCCTATCTGGTAAGGGCCACCTGTGAGTGTGACACTGAGCATGATTGGGACTTGTTGTGACATGGTGGGCCAGTGGGAAAACAGATTCATCTGAAATTGAATGCTGTTGCTCCCATATACACCGACCTCAGAGATTGGAGTCTCTGCAAACAGAGAGACTTGAATTTTATTTTTTTAATCAAAACTTATTTCACAATGATCATAAAAGATACATTTGAGGTTTGGGGAAGTTGTAAAAGTGCCTGTCATATGAGCTGAGATCCTGAGTTCATATTCACAGAATCCATATAAAAAAAACTAGGCATTGTGCCTATATTCCTAACTGTGATTAGGGTGGAGGCAGCCAGATCTCTGGAGCTCATTGGCTACCCAGTGTAGCTTAATGGATGAGATTCAGTGTCAGTGAGAAACCTGCTTCAAAAAATAAAGATAGTCATTGAGGAGACCCCTGGCTTCAAACTCAGGCCTACTCACACACTCATGCGTGTGCACACACAAATACCTTCCAACTTTCTAAAGTTGAGTTTGACTGGCCTGTGTTGCCTAAAAATAGTATTGCAAGCCAGACATGGTGGTGCACACCCATAATCCCAGCACTTGGAGACAGAGCCAGGAGGACCACAAGTTCAAGCAAGACCACCCTGGGCTGTAAAGAGAGATCCTACCTCAAAACAACAACAACAAAAACAAACAACAACAACAACAACAAAACATACAAACAAAAACCAAAAGGTAGTATTTCATGTAAACAGAGAGGAATACACGTTGTTTTCAAAAAGAGCGAGAAAATTCAGATAAAGCAAACAAACTTCTGAGTCGCTGACGACACAGTCATTACCAGCATCTTGGGGTCAAACTCAATACACTCGAAACCTTAACACATGGAATGCTGCGGACATGTCACATGGAGAAAATCACCTTTTCTGTTGTAACTGGTTTTTCAAACAATTTTCCTATTTGAGAGGTTGAGATTATTTCAAGATCTCCATGATTACATTCAGTGTTGTAACAGCTGTGGGCAGCCGGGTTTGCAACTTTTTCTGGCCACTTAACATAGGAGAAATTCTAGAAATAGAATGTGTAGGTCAAAGGTGAGCTTCTAAAGAGTTCCTGATCCATTCTGTCATGAAGCCCTTCAGCAAAGATGCACTTTAAAAAATGGATTGCCAAAGACGTATTGGAGTGAGTGCCACGTGTCTCTGTGCTAAATTGTATGCAGCCTCTAAACTATCCAGTGATTAGAAAGCAACATTAGCAAGCTTCCAGGTGAGTGTACAGTGCCTGTTCCGGGGGGCAGTGCCCCCTCCCACAGCTGAGGGGAGGCATCAGTGGCACTGCTCAGATTCAGCATCTTCCTATTTTTAGTCAGCATTAAATACATCCACGGTGTAGCGCATGCATCATCCGCACCTCCATCTCCAGAGCTCTTCCTCTGTCTCAGATGATGCTTTTCACATCAAGCACCAACTCCTCATTCCCTTGTCCCCTCCCAGCCCCCAGCCGCCACCAGCCTGCTCTCCATGTTCATGAATTTCACTATTACAGGACCCTTATTGTGATGGTGAGTCTTCTCTGTGGATGTGATAGGATCTCAAGTAACCTAGGAGACACCTCCTGTACATGTGGGACAGTGTTTCACAGGTTTAGTTGGGGTGGGAAGACCAACCCTGAATGTGCACAGCACCATCCCACAGACTGGGGTCCTGGGCTGAATAAAAAGAAGAGAGCAAATTCATCTGTCTGTTTCCTGGCTGTGGATCCAATGTCACCAGCTGCCTCAAGGCCTTGCCACCATAACTTCCATAACCTGATGGACTACACCTTTAAACCACAAGCCAAAATAAGCCCTTCCTGTCTGTGCTGGCTAGTTTTATATCAGCTTGACACAAGCTAGGGATATCTGAAAGCAGGACCCTCAGTTGAGGAAACGTCACTATAAGGTCCAGCTGGTTTTGTATGATGCTGGAGACCAAAGTTAAGGCTTCATGAATGCTAGGCAAGCATTCTACCCACCTTAGTCATGTCCCCCAGCCACACCATCTACTTTTAAAAAACATTCTTTACATTCATTTACTTATTTATTGCAAGTGCGGATGTGTGCGTTATGAGTGTGCATGTGCAAATCTGTGCCACCGCAGCTGTATGATGGTTAGAGGACAGTGTTTGGGAGTTAATTCTTTTCTTTCACCATGTGGATTCTGGGGGTGGAACTGAATTCATCAGGCTTGGTGGCGAGTGTTCATAATACATACCAATTATGGAAAAAATAAACAATGTAGATCACTGATTGGTACTTAGCCTCCTAGAATTTTCTTATTCATATGGGAAATTTTCCTTTGTTTTAAAATACTGCACTGGGCCCATGCTCTCCTCTTCCTGACATATTGGGAATAACTTGCCTTGTCAGCACACAAAGATCCACCCTATGAATGTTGATGGTTCTGTGATACGCACCTATGTTTTATTTTTGTGGATAACTTGAATTATAATCTGTTGACCCATAAGCAGTCCAACATCTATTTTTGTCTGCTTTGTAAGTTGCAATTTAAGCAGAATGTCATTGCATACACTCAACTGATTCTGTCCATAAGGTTAATTGCTGGTGGTGGGTGGCGTTCATAGCTTAGGGATTAAACATCCTCCACCACCACTTCTCATCGCTAAATTATTCCGGAGAGGCCAGAGTCTCACCATGAGACATGCCCAGCTGCTCACTAGCAGTGTATTCCCCCAAGTTTGGATGGCTCAGGGGAGGGAGGAAGGCAGAGGTGGGGAGGGAGCCTGAAGCGTGCCTGGGGTCAGTGGAGTTCTAAGGACGGCATGCTGAAGAAAACAGGAAGAGTGGGCCCTTGCTCCGTGTGTAGGTTGTGCATTGTTCAGCTCTCAAAGGTTGTCATTCAGGCCCATAGATTGCCCACCTCTGAAGCTTTGAGAAGCTTGGGCATTGGGGTTGAGTGGCTGTTTGCTCTACCATTCTTTATTTAACCCCACTGGCCTTGGCAGCTCCCATCTCTAGGTTTATGGCCCTCCCTTCCCTCAATAGCTGGAGGCCAGCTGAGGTAGGGGAGAGGCATCTGTGTGATCTAGAAATGACCCTTTGGCCCAGGGTCTGTGGATTTTCTTCTTGAAGCTGTGTAGAATTTAGATTTAGTAAGGTGTGTGGTACAGATAAATAGTCAATACAGTAATATTCAGACACCAAAAATAGTAAACACAGAGCATGTCTAGTCCAGTACTACAAATAATAATTCAAAATAATACTACAGATACGGGCTGGACAGAGAGCTCAGTGGTTAAGAGCACTTGCTATCTTGCAGAAGGCCTGAGTTCAGTTTCCACTGTCCACGTCAGGCCTCTCACAGCAGCCTATAACTCAGCTCCAGGGAATCCAACACCCTTTCCTAGCCTCCAAGGGCACCCACATGCACAGGAACACACACACACACACACACACACACACACACACACACACACACACTATATATATATATATATGTATGTATATATATATGTATATATATATGTATGTAATATTATATATATAAATATGTGCATGCATATATATATATATATAGAATACCAGGCCTCAAGTTCTGTGAACATTTTGATCTTAGACATGGGACCCTCTGGCTGCCTAGGACCCTCTGGCTGCCTAGGACCCTCTGGCTGCCTAAAAGACAGGGCATTCTGAGGACTTTAAGTCACAGGCAATGGGCATTCGAGTCTTTTCCACTTGGTTTATTTAACCTGTCCCCACCCCAAACCAGGCCTTTCTGTTTGGAAAAGACCCACCCTAGCCTGGCAGGTAGGGATCTGATGCTGACCACAGCGAGGGTGTCGAGGCTGTAGGCTGAGCAGCGATGGAGACACAGCTGAGAAGGTCAGGGAGAGCATCCCCACTTCCTCCCCGTCACCCATGGACAGCGCAGCCCCAGCTGGACGGCAGGAAGAACAAGTTGGCTCTGAGTAGGGCAGCTGGCTGGGCTGCTAGGCCAGACAGCTTTTCCTTCTTCCCAAACTCACTGGAGCCTCTGAAGGTTAAATGGGAAGAAGGTCAGTCCACAGGAGGAATGTGGTCCTGCTGGGCATACAGTATTGTGCTATTGTGGTTATCTGTTCTAGTTTCCTTAAGAAGGCGACTTTTAAACAAGCTGTGTGGCCTCCTTGCATTCCTCTGTGATGTCAGGCAGGCTCCTGTCTCAGGGCCTTTGTGCTTGTTGATTCTTCCCACCTGCCACTCACCAGTCATTGCTCTCTCTCTCTCTCCTCACAGAGGCTCTTCTCCAGGGTCTTCCTGGCCCCCTCTCCTAAGGCAGAACCCCCTCATCACACCCACTCTGCTTGCTTTCTTGTCGTTTCTTGTCACCTGTTTAACATGGCAGTCAACAGGCATCTGCTTGACTCTTAGACTGTTGGGCTCCTTTGCCGCTGTCTCCAGCCCAGCACTATTGACATTGTGCACTCTTAGAATTTTATAAATGAGTAACTGAATCCTTAAATCATCTTCAAGAATGAATAACAGACGAGTTTGTTCCATTTTATGAGCCCTCCTCTGTGATTTACACGGGCACTTAAACATGAGCTCCTGGGGGGAGTCGCTCATGCACCAAGATCCTTGACCTTAACAGCTGCCCCCATTAATCTCCCAGAGATGGCACTTGGGGAGAGGCTACGTTGAAATTGGGGGAGGGGGTAATGCATTTACTCTCTCTCTCTCTCTCTCTCTCTCTCTCTCTCTCTCTCTCTCTCTGTGTGTGTGTATGAGAGAGAGAGAGAGAGAGAGAGAGAGAGAGAGAGAGAGAAGATTCATTTTATGAAAGGTATGTGTGACCCAGCTCCTCAGCAAGCCTTGCAATTTGAGAAAGTGAAGAAGGTTGAGATGACAACACCCCCCACCCCCCACCCCCGCCACCCCGTGCAGACTGGACCCCAGACATCAGCTCCAGGTTTGTGCGCGTGTCCTGCAGGGAAGATGGACTCTCCTTCTGACACTGATATCTGCTAGCAGG